TTAAATCGCTGAACATGGCTGCGTGTCTTCACTGGAAGCAGCATGCCGGATGATTTATGAGATAATCAACTCATTTTGTTTTGTTTTTTTAAGTTGATTCAGAATGAGCTGGGCTGTGACTTATAAAATGCCCTCCTGTCCAGCTTCCCCTAAAGTCATCTTGACCTGATATGCTCTGAGACATCAGAGGGATTCTTTCTTTTGTAAATTAATAAGCCACAGAGAATTATACATTTAATGTGCCTATCTAGTGACTTATTAACGTGGAGACAAGAGGCCCTTATGGAGAAGTGGTCACCTCAGCACTTTTGCCTGCATTTTAATTACTCAGGTCATCCTCAAGAGCCTCTCTTGAATAGATTGTGCTATTAGCCAGGCTTTCCCCATTATTTGCAACACTATTCATCTGATTTTAAAAAAGAGGAAGCTTTAACCACTGAAGGAAATCTCCCCACGGAAGTTGTGATTTAAAACTCTATTGTACTGCTAACTCATATACCTTTCTCTCAAACCTGGGCTTGTTTAGAAAACCTTAGTGACTTCAGATGGAATTTAGCATATGTAAGGAGTAACTTTTGATTTATTGAGGAGTCCATGAGAAACATAACAAATTACTATTTTTAAAAAGTCCTTCGATTGCCTCAATTTACACACCAAGTCATTTTGTCTTAGTACCTAATGAATGCATTTTGAAGTCTGCAGTGTGTGGAAGGTGCTATCTCAGAAAGCACAGCGAATTCTTCCAGAGTTTAAAAAAAAAAAATAGAAAGAGGCATATCCCAATCCCATTGGGAGCTTTTCAAGAAAATTTTAAATACATTACTACTGTCCCCTGTCTATTCATACTCCCGCAGAACTTGTGCGGCCAGAAGTGCTCGGATGATGACTCAGGAAGTCCTGTGTCTTGTGCAAGATCACACTCAGGGACTGAAGTGAGATTAGGATCTGGAAATGTTTACTCTTAGAAAAGGGTTTTCCCCCCAAATCATGTTGCACTTAAAGAAACAAAACTGTACCCATTTTGCAGCTCTTCTGGCTGGTGAAAGTCACTTTATTGCACGAGGGGGGTTCAGTTTACTGGAATCAAGTTGAACTTGCTTTGATGAACTTGCTGGGAGGACCATTGGAGTGGCCCTAACACACCCAGTAGGCTTGTCCAGCTCAGTGGTTCTGTCCCATTTCCAAGTGCAAACTCAGAGCCACTCTTCTGGGTGCTTAGAAGCAGAAACTCTAGCAGAGAATAGAGACTGAAACAGTATTTGAAAGCCTACCCAGTGGCTACCTCTCTACCCCTCCGCCTCCCGCCTCCTCATACACTCTTTCTCATGTTCCCAAATTAGTAAACAGGCTTATTTCTGAGGTGTGACTAAGCTGAAACATTCTTGCAGGGAGTGATTTTTCCATTTCCTCTGCCTCTGGAAGAAATCAGAAGCCGGAAGAATTCAGAAGAAATAGGCCTCTGACTAAGCATGGAGTCGGAGCTTGTTATAAAGCCTTATTAGCCTGGGAAAGTGTACACGTTCCTTTAAATTTATACTTGGATATATTTGCAATTCAAATGTTATCACTAAAACTAATCAGTAATCACTGACAAAGTTTTGGCTGAAGCTTTGGGGGGTAATTTTTTACTTTGAAATAATTTCAAATTTATAGAAAAGTTACAAGGAATAGTACAAACAGCACAGGAACTTCTAGAAACACTTTGCCCATGTTCACTAATTGTTCACATTTTGTCCTCTTTTCCTGTCTCCCTCTGCCTAACCCTCCATGTCTCTTAGCTCTGTCTCCTGTGTTTCTATTTTTAAAATACATTGAAATGTTTTCCTCTTTACCTCCTTTCATGAAGTGCTTATCTAATATACAGGCACTTTCTCTCACATAACCACAATATTAGAGCAAGTTAACACTGATCTATTATAATGATCTAATAGTACAAGTCAGTGATTCTGAGATTGTCCCTCAATTTTCTTTTGGCTGACTTTCCTCATGATTTAAAAATGCCAGGTAGAGGGCCTCCCCTGTGGTGCAGCGGTTGAGCGCTGGGTTGCGAAGCTGCCTGCAGCCTCTGCAGCGCCAGTTCGATCCCGGCTGCCGGGCAAGGGCATGGTGCGGCAGACTTCTCCTGCCACCCACTGCTCCCCTCAGCAGTGTATTTTGTCAGTCTGCCTGTTCTGCTCCCCGCTCTGGCTCTGGTGAATTCTCTCACCCTCCCACACTTCTGACTATACCCAGTGCTTGTATAAATAAATAAATAAATCTTAAAAAAAAAAAGCCAGGTAGAGTCTTTATGAGGCATTTCCTAGATGAGGTTCTATGTTCTTCTTAGGGAATCGCCTTGGGAGACACCTCTTGTTGGTTTGTAATATTGTTGATGATACTCGTTTTGGTCATTTGCTTAAGGTGGAATCCTTTGGGGAAGTCATCATTTTCTCTTTGAAAGTAAACTTTAACACTGTGCAAAAATTCCTTCCCTTATCCAACTTTCAGCTGCTAGTTTTTGCATCCACTGATGATTTTCTTAAGTCCATCATGCCTCCTGAAATTATTTAGTAGACAATCTCCCATAAAGAAGAGCTTTCCCTCTTCCCTCACTTATTTATTCATATTTTTATCCGTCAGAACTCAGAGTCTTCCTTTATACAATGGATTATGGCCCCACTATTTATGTTGGCATCTCAGTTACCCCAGATTTGGCCAATGCTGGTCCCCTCAAGTGGGCTTCTATGTCCCTTCAACTTGATCCCTTGATTCCATGAGAACTTCTTTCTGGCATAGCAAGCTGTTCCAGAATCACCTTGGACTTTTCTTGACTCAGCACTGGTATCAGCCACTTCTCTAAGGAAGTAGTCCTTTTAGTGGAGAGTGGTATTTAGAAATCACCATCTGGGAACAATTAGTGCTCATTGTTGCAAGCTTGTCATTGCCTCTAGCCCAGCTCAGTAGACCTGAAAGGGAATGTTTCTCTGTGTACTTTGATCCATCTGAAAGGTTGTTGAATCTATACTGAGCCTGCCATGGGTGTGTTCTAGTCTCCCCCTGTACAGATTTGAAACTGTCTTCCTTAACAGTGAGGAACCTGCCTTCCATTATCCCCACTTTTTTTTTTTTTAAATCATTGGCTCAGGCCTAGAAGACAGAGAGTGTTGTTTCTGAATTGCTAAGCCATACCACTTCAAAAATACAAACCTACTTATTGATAATACTTATTGATAGTTATTTTTAGGTAAAATTAATGTACATGAAATGCACAAATCTAATGGGCACAGATCAGTGAATTTTGATAAAGGCACACATCTTTGTTATCGATATGTCTATCAAGACATAGTTGGGTTGTGTTTTTTTTTTTTCCCAATCTCAGAAAGTTCCATCTATCAGCCAATATTCTCCTAAAAGGCAGGCACACTTATGGCTTAATTTCTACTCAATTCATTTAATAGCCTTAACTTTCTTAGCTAAGTTTTAAACCAGTAACTTTTATATCTAGGAGGAATTTTATTATCTATTTTTTAAGGAAAATTTTAGAGGAGTTTAAAAAATATATTGTAATTTCCTGTGAGTGGATGTTCCCCTGTGTCTTATTACTTCTTAGAATTAACTTATTTAATACATCCTGGAACCACAGTACACATTAACTCTTACCATGGCCTCCAACTTTGCCAAACACCACTTTCCCTGAACCTCTGGGCTCCCTGACCACAGTGGACACTGTTCAGGTCCTCAATCACATCAAGATCTTTTCCGCTTTAAGGAACAGGAAGTTCCTCTTCCCTCTACTAGAACCTACTTCCCTTCATCCTCTCCTATCTAACTTTTATCAGTCAGACCTCACCAAACCATAACCCACGCCAAGAGACTGTCTCTGATGACTCTGTGTGAAGCTGCTCACACTTGCCCTGGGTTACTCTGCACCTTCCCCTGTTTTTCTTTCTATGTAGTTCTCATCACTCTCACTTATTGATTCATTTAACCTTTGCTATTCTCTTAGCACCTGGGAAAATGCCTGGTGTGTTTGTGTGCTGTGTATGTGCTGTGTGAGAGTGTGGTGTGTGGTGTTAGGAAGGAAGGTCAGTATGGGGTCCAGTAACTATCTTTTGTGTGGATGAATGATGGAATTTTTTTATCTTGGTATTCTTTAAGATGTGTGTCTTCCTTAGTCCCTAAGAATCTGAAAGACAAAGTGTTTTCCTTATACAAATTATTAGTGATAATATATCAACGTTTCTTCACTCTTCCAATCTTTTATCCTTTTTATTTTCTTACTCTTCTTATGATCAAATGGGCAATAATACTATCTTACTGTGATATGACTATACGTGATAAGTATATACCTATTGCTTCTGAATAATCAGAAAATTATCTCTACTTTCCAATGATGGACACATTAAACATTAACATTTAACTACTTAGAGCCATAAAGAGCACTGCTGTTTCTTGTCAGAAGTGGACTGCAAACCTGGCCAAAGGTTATTTCACCAGGAGATTACCCACAGGACTCTTCACAGGGAAACGAAACTGGAGGTTTGGTTTCGGGTGTAAGAGAAATAAGAAAGAAAGTGTATTAGGAGCTGGGAACGCTGGAGATACTCCTCTGCTCAGTGACAGGGCACAGCTGCTCCTGTCCAGAAAGACAACTGGAAACCAGCCCATTCGTTTGGCTTGGTGTTTATCTGCTTGTTGCACAAGAGCTTTGGGCCGAAGAGTATGATAGCTCATCATTGCCTTTATTTTGCTCATTTGCAGTTTGCATTTTTAATTATGGCACCAAAATATGTGAATATTGATATAAAATAGTTGACTCTGTCTCTAGACTTTCATTGAATTGTTAACCTAGACTTTCTGGAAAAAGACTTTGACCACTGTATGAGAGTTTTCTAGAGAGAAACTCATTTTGAGAAATGCAACCATTCTAATTGCATAGTTGATCGTTTCCCTCTAGCAATAGCTACCTCAGGAATGTCAGAAGAGGTAACATGTATTTCGTGTTTGTGTTTGTTTCTAAGGAGCATAGCAGCCACCGATCATGAACCAACAGACGCCAGGAAGACCTTCCCCTGCTTTGATGAGCCCAACAAAAAGGCAACATACACAATAACTATTGTCCACCCCAATGAGTATGAAGCACTTTCAAATATGCCAGTGGATGTGAGTATTTAAAAATGGTTTTTGTTTAGACAAGTAGTCTGTTACAATATCAGGTAAATTACCTGATTTGCTGTGAGAGAATCCACCCAATCCTAAAATGAAATGAGCTCCTCTAGCTTATTTAGAGGCTTGAATATATAGGTTGGCCATCTTTTTCCTTTGGGTCCACATGTCAGTGTCCAGTCAAAAAGCTTCCTTGGGATTTCTAAGGAAGAGAGAATGTAGCAGACACCTGTCAGCTGGACTCTGTTTACTCGAAGGCATTCCCCAGGCATGACAAATTAATGGCAAACCAACAAAATTACAAATTCAAACATATTTGAAAGCCTAGTCTCTACTCTTGGATTTCAATTCACTATAAACCTGGTTTTTAAGCTATTACTACCAAAAATCCTGTCTTACATGTGGGAGTGCAGATGACAACTCCAGGGAATGCCATGCCCATAGATTTTTAGGTGAACAAGACGTGCTCATTAAATATTTTTATTTTTTAAGAAAGAGGCTACAATCATGTCTGGCTGTACAACCATGAACATAACACTATTTCTTCTGTTATTGCTCTCACCCTCATGAGGGGTAATATAGTTAACTAAAGTATCATTATTATCAAAGTTGAGGTTTCTTATACGTTATGTATTGGTCATTACAAGGACCAAGTTCTTAGATATAATTGTCACCTAATAGCCAACGTGATATTGTCCATCCTTCTGATCTATCTGAAATATCATCATTGAAATTCATCTCTTTTAATCATAAATATTCCTCAAGAAAGCAAGAGCAAGATGAAACAAGGAAAAGCTTAAGAGAGCTCTCATCAGCCAGCCTTGTCTCAGTGTGGATGAGTTTATCAACTCATCCTTTTCACTGGTGGCAAGCCCCTGAGTAACTGAGTTTTGATTGGGAAAGCAAGAGGAAAGGATAGAGATGAAAGTATGACACAACAGCCAGAAAATTGGATCAGGGTGAGGACAAGACTGTCTCATGTGGAGGGGAGAAAGCCAGGTCAGGATGGGAAGAGACACACCAACTCTACCACTTGAGACACCCTGTAGGATCTTCTCATTTGCAGACTTCTTCTTCACCTACTAGGTCCACATTGTAGTCTTAGAAGAAGGAGAAGATCTGGCTCGTTATACTTGAACAGACACTCTTGGGTTGGTTCTGTAAAGGAACTAACCTTGCTGGGGCTCCAGCTCACACACACACATGCTTGCCTTGTCAACAGTGCATCTGTTCTAGGCCAATCTCTCCCACTTAACCCCTTACTAACGCTTCCCACTGAAGCTGTGTGACTTACCGGGTGGCTGCAGGGCATATGAAAGGGTTTAAAGGATGGGCATCAGGAGCTGAGCAAGTCCAACATAATACTAGCTGTGTGCTTGGGGGCCAAGGTGAGAACAAGCCAAGGGACAGTGATGCCTCAGGAGGTGAGATTTAATCATAAATCTCATGTGGAAACATTACCATGTTACAGCAGCCACCACATCAGTAGCCAGTAGGGATTTGGGGACCAGCATGGTACAGTCCATCTAGGATCGACTGAAAAGTTACTAGGTGCACATCTTTAGCCATGGGTGAATTTCAATGGTCATTGCCAGTGCAGAAGGCAAAGCTGACATGGAAAGAAAAGCAGACAGGGGTTGCATCAAACAATGCAATCCTTCTCTCGCTCCATGGTAACCAAGTCAGTGACTTAAGTGACCATATCTGGGTCTTTGACGTGGACAACCTGAGATAGAAAAGACACCCGTGTCCTGCTCTGCCTGCTTCAGCTCTTGCTCCCTGAACATAGTCAAGTGGGCAAATGTCTACTTAGCTCTCTAGGTGTGCACAGTCCTGAGTGCTAGCCTGCCTTTCCTCCTGGAGCCTCCATTTGTTTGTCTTGTACCCAATCCAGCTTTTGAAAAGTAAAAGATTGTCTTTTGTGTTTAACAGAAACGAGAGCCAGTGAATGGCAAATGGACTCGAACAACTTTCCTAAAGTCTGTCCCCATGAGCACTTACCTGGTATGCTTTGCTGTACACCAGTTTGTTCCTGTGAAGAGAACATCAAAAAGTGGAAAACCGGTGAGTCCTATTATATTTTTAAAGATTGATCACCTATGACTTTGTGATTCATTTTTGACCTTTTTTAAAGTTTTTGTTTTTTCACTCAATAGACTAGAAAAGCCCACTAGTCACCAGGATCTGTGAACTTGCTGATAAACTGAACAATATAGAAAAATATAACAGGAAAGGACACAGGTGTAAAATAAACAAACACGGTAGACATAGGTAGGAATTCCTAGCCTTGAGTTATTTTAAGGGGAAAGTTGACTACCAATCAAAAGAGGGCTGGTTATATATATCAGGGCAAATATACTAAAATACTTGACTCTGCCTAAACAGTTAAGTGACTCTCTATATTTTGATGCTCCACTCGGTGCTTATATATTAATGAGTGCTATGTCTTCTTGATGGACTGATACATTAATCATATACTTTCCATCTCTTTCTCTTCTTACCTTTTTTTTTTGGAAGTCTGTTTTATCTGATACAAATATGACTTATTTGCAAGGTAGCGATAATGCTGGGTGAGTCATTAGAACTCGTACCAGTTAGCTGAGCTCTAGTGATGGATTTTATATAAAGGATTTAGAATGACATAATGCAAAATAGGGTTTGGCAAAGGGCCCAAAAATGTCCTTTAAATGGTAAATATTTCTTAAATGGTTTTTCTATGAAAACTAAGTATATAATATTCTATCTTAAATCAGTGATGTTTCAATCATTTGGGAGGGAAATAAAGATAAGGTTGTCATGCTTTATATCTTTCTGATCATCTGTTTGATAAAAGAGAAGCAGAAACTCAAACTATCTTTGAACACGTCACGGAGACTCTGGGTCAAGAGAATTCAGTGAGCGTAAAGAGAACAAAGTAGGTTCTCCTCCCTCTTCCCAATATACAGAAGACAGGCAACCAGAAATGACCCTCCTGCAAAAAAACAAAACAAAACAAAACAAAAAAGCCCTGTGGGGCTGTTTCCTTCCAAAGCCAAACAGAACCTGTCAGGGGAACTTTGAGATGTCCATTGTCACTGTCAATTCATGGTAAGTTCTGCCTCCTTGGCATTTGGGCTGCCTGCCTGGCCCCCTACCCACTCATTCTAAATTGAAGTCTAGCAGTTGACACCTGAGCCCCAAGTGCTCCCAGGGCAATTTCTTACTCCAGAGAGAATTACAGCTAAACCAACCTACTTCAGTCTACTTACATGTAGCATCAGAGAAAACCCACACTAGCCTCCCAGTCCTGCATTCTTACAACTCAACAGACAACTTAAGGCAAACAAGTACATTAGGAAAAAAAGTAACAAGAAAATATCCAAGACAAATAAGCAGAAAAACACAGCAGGGGCAAGTAGTGACAAATGGGGAAACAAGATAATTCCTAAAAAAAATCTATAAAAATTAAGCATTCATGCAATACAACCTTTAATTACTATACTCAGAGACATAAGAAGCTGTGATCACCATGAAATAAAAGTCAGAGAAATAGTAGAAAACAGAATTTAAAAACACGGTTCCCAAAACATGACCTGGCTCTGACCCTCACAAACCTGTTTCTGACTAATTCCTTCCCAAGCCATGGCCCAGGAGGTCTGCAGTGTCGGTTCCTGTCCACAACTTTTATTTATTTGTTTATTTATTTATTTGCCAACTCCATGGAGATACTTGTATTGTTTAATGCCTGTTCTCCATTTTTACCTGAATCTGTCATTTCTGCATGTTAGGAACAGCAGAGGCATCAACATCAGTTCACTGCACTATCTTGACCCAAAGTCCAAGACCACTTTTTCAGTTAAAGGGAGAGGAATCAAAATGGGAGGGACAAGCACAAGAGAATATGGTGACCGTTCACGGTTGACTTGGTGGTGGGAATTTTATGGGAACCACACCTGAGAGGAGAAATCAAACATTATATAAAAATGAACAATGATGTAAAAGATATATTTATATATTTAAATAAATATATTTAATTTTTAAAAAAGAAATGGAACTAGGGAATTGGCAGGTAATACACCATTTTTAGTAGAAATTTTGTGAATCAAAGACCATTATTATCCTCTCTGCTCCTGACAGTATTATTCTGGTACATTAATCACCTGCTTTTCATAATGAGATTATACTGTGCAGTCCAAGAAACTGTAATACCCTGATTAAATTCTGTTGGGTATGTTCACCCTTCTGGCAAGAGTATCTTTATATCAACAAACACAGAATCAAAGCTTCTGTTCTTTTAACTGGAGGAGAGCATAGGAGGTATTAGTGGTTGAATCATTCATTATGCTTAAATATCCTGTTGCTTCATGAGAGAAAATTAGGTTGGAGGACCCAATCCTAAAATATGATTAAGAAAAAAGATAGCTCAGAAGATGTTTAACTCTGTCTATTTCATGTTTTAAATATTAGTTGCATTGTTTGAGTCTGTCCTGGAAAAAAAAAGATAGTAAATTCAGGAGTTACTTAGTGTAATTCAGGAAGAAATAAGGCCTGCCATGAGCAGAAGGGATTTTTACAATTCTGTTGGCCACAAATCTCTTTCTGAGGCCTTTTTCAAGGTTTCATTGATTGGTTAAGGGTTTTACAATAAATGAAATCATTAATTCAACCCCAGAAAAACAGAAACATCCCTGCACTGTGCAAAATATAGAGACGTATATGATCTTCCAGTTCTGTGAATTAACTCTTGAGTTATCAATAAAATGTGCTTCTATTTCCAATTCAGAAGTCTCATCATGGACACAATAACCCTGATAAATTTGTAACCTGATATTTCAGCTCAAAATTTCCCATTGGTTATTGTTGTCCACTTCCAAATCCAGAAAAAATGGGATTATGAATATGTTCTTAAAGTTTTTTAAATTGTAGGTGTATCTGGGTTCTTGGGCGGTGGGTGTGGTGTGGGTAACAGCACCCGAGGGGGAGGTCCTATACCTCTAAAACACAGTGTTGTAAGTCATTTTTACCTCAATAAAAATAAACAAATAAGTAAATAAATGACTTGTAGGTTTGGTACATAAACATTATGTACCAAAAATTGGGAAGAGACCCAGACAAACAGAAACTCCGGAATTTCATTGCAACTAAACCCCCACTCCAAAAAATACTACAAGGAGTCCTAAAGCCAGAACCTCAGAGGGACGAATAACAATGAAAGAAGGCCAAAAAAAAAAAAGAATAAATAAATAAAATCAAAGGAAAGACAAACACAATGGCAAATACAGATGTTAACATATCAATATTAACTCTAAATGTAAATGGACTAAACTCTTCAATAAAAAGACACAGAGTGGCAGCCTGGATTAAGAAACAAAACCCAACCTTTTGCTGTCTCCAGGAAACACATTTAGCTACAAAAGATAAAAATAGGCTCAAAGTTAAAGGATGGAAAACAATCCTACAAGCAAATGGACCAAAAAAGAAAGCAGGAACAGCTATACTTATATCAGATAAAACAGATTTCAAACTCAAAAAGATAAAAAGAGACCCCAATGGTCACTACATTATGATCGAGGGGACATTACTTCAAGAAGAATAACACTCATTAACATATACTCACCAAACGAAGGAGCACCAAAATATATCAGACAACTGTTGTCCTCTCTGAAAACAGACATCAGAGAAAACACATACGTAGTGGGAGACTTCAACACACCACTATCAACAATGGATAGATCAACAAGACAAAAAATAAGTAAAGAAACCAAAGCTCTAAATAAGGACCTAGAGCAATTAGGCTTAACAGACATCTATAGAACACTAAACCCCAAAAAAACGGAGTACACATTTTTCTCAAGCGCACACGGATCATTCTCCAGGATCGATCACATACTGGGGCACAAGACAAACATCAACAGATACACCAAGATTGAAATCATATCAACCATCTTTTCTGACCATGAAGGCATCAAACTAGAAATAAACCATAAAAAGAAGGCAAGGAACTTTCCTACCTCATGGAGATTAAAAACCACACTACTGGAAGACCATTGGACTAATGAGGAGATCAAAGAAGAAATTAAAAAATTTTTTGAATTGAACGACAAGGAGGACACTAATATCCTAAATGTATGGGATGCAGCAAAAGCAGTAATAAGAGGAAAATATATAGCAATAGAAGCTCACATCAAGAAACAAGAAAGAACGCAAAGAAACAACCTCATCTCGAAGCTCAAAGATCTAGAAAAAGAACAACAAAAAAACCCCAAAACCAGTAGAAGAAAAGAAATAATAAAAACCAAAGCAGAAATAAATGAAATTGAAACTAAAAAAACAATCCAAAAGATCAATGAAACCAAGAGCTGGTTTTTTGAAAAAATCAATAAAATAGACAAACCCCTAGCCAGGCTCACAAAGGAAAAAAGGGAGAAAGCACAAATAAACAGGATCATCAATGAAAGAGGAGAAATCACAACGGACACAGCAGAAATCAAAAGAATAATCAGTAACTACTATGAACAGTTATATGGAAACAAGTTTAACAATCTAGAGGAGATGGACAAATTCCTACAACTCTACAATCACCCAAAGCTAGATAAAGAAGAAATAGAACACCTAAACAGACCAATTACAATTAGCGAAATTGAAATGGTAATAAAAAACCTCCCCAAAAACAAAAGCCCAGGACCTGATGGATTTACAAATGAATTCTACCAAACATTCAGAGATGAATTAGTGCCTATCCTTCACAAACTCTTCCAAAAAATTGAGAAGGAAGGGACAATACCAAACACGTTTTATGAAGCCAACATTACACTAATACCAAAACCGAACAAGGACAACACAAAAAAGGAAAACTATAGGCCAATCTCCCTAATGAACACTGATGCAAAAATCCTCAATAAAATTTTAGCTATCAGAATCCAACAATGTATCCATAAGATAATTCACCACGACCAAGTTGGATTCATTCCAGGGGCACAAGGATGGTTTAATATCCGAAAATCAATCAACGTTATCCAACACATCAACAAAAAGAAATATAAAACCATATGATAATATCAATAGATGCTGAGAAAGCTTTCGAC